GATTTGGTAGGACCTTTACCAGATTCAAATGGATACTCTTACTTCTTAACCTGCGTAGACCGTTTCACTCGATGGCCAGAAGCAGTACCTATCGAGGACATCACTGCTGAAACAGTGGCTCGCGCCTTCGTCGAACGATGGGTAGCAAACTTTGACTGCCCTTCAACCATCACTACAGACCGCGGACGTCAGTTTGAATCTGAACTTTTCCGTCGTCTGACCACACTTTTAGGAACCACTCGCTTCCGAACGACTGCCTACCAGCCACAAGCAAACGGGTTGGTAGAACGCTTTCACCGACAACTAAAAGCTTCACTATCAGCTGCAAACGTTTCACAGTGGACCGACGCTCTTCCACTTGTCTTACTGGGTATTCGCAATGCAGTGAAAGCTGACATTAGATACACTGCGGCTCAACTCGTTTATGGAACGACACTTCGACTTCCAGGAGAATTCGTGGATCCTTCGTCCTCTTCAATGAACATGGATCTAACCTACTACACGAACAGGCTTATAAACGCAATGCGTTCAGTTAAACCTGTTTCCACTCGATCGCAATCAACTGATGTTTTTGTTCAACCTGACTTACGATATAGTACACACGTTTTCGTTCGTCGAGACTCGCATCGACGACCTTTCAAATCAGCATACGAAGGACCTTTCAAAGTTCTTCAACGCGAACCGAAGTACTATATAATCGATAGGAACGGAACCAACGATAGCATCAGCATCGATCGCCTCAAAGCAGCGTATTTAGAAGGAGATCCTATCTACGTCGATTTTCCTTCGATACAATCGAACTACACGACTCCGCTCATAATTTCTCAATCGACAACCAACACACGCGATGTTACTCCGAATGTATCTGAAAATAAACTTAAAACGACGCGTTCTGGAAGAAGAGTTAGATTTCCAGAACATTTAAACGACTATTGCACGTAAGATACTGGTTGACATTTTATATCGTCTCGATTTTCCTTTGTACCATATATAATTAAAGAAAACAATTTTAATATGCTCATACATCTTTATTTTTATTTCAAAAAACAAAAGAAACATATTATAAAAATACTTGTTTTTAACGCTACTAGGTATGCATGACTTTATTTTCCATTTTTCTCTCACTTTGTGTATTTCGACATGCACTTACATTTTCTTTTTTCTTTTCCAGGATGGCTGGAAAAGAACGATGAAGTTTACGCGGAACCGAAATCTTCATTGTACTTTTTCTTTTTATACTATATTGTACTTCGTGGTCCCTTATAGTAAGGAAAGACGACCGGACGCTGCTAAACTTAGCAAGCTATCAGAGGAGTGTTTACCAACGACAAAATCGTTGGGTTTAAACTTCTGGCTGGCCACGTCTTAGGGTCATCACTACCCCACTGGGGGAGGAGTGATCTGTAGCGGCAAATAAATCCCCAAAATAAATAGCTCATGAACTCACCTAGCTAAAGGAGCTTGGTCATGCATCCGCACTAGATCACGAGTGGAAACGCCATGCTCAACATCTACTGCAATCGCTAGCCAGATTAGATCAGACAATCCCAGATATATTGATAGTCCAGAAAATGTATCTTCGAGACTCTTCCCTTCTGTCTTTTGATTTCACTCGATGGGTACGAGTTATATTAGGTGTTACTGGTTAAAGCGTTGTCAAAGTCCGAATACCTGTGGCATCTTCACCTACTACTATCATTCCAATTCAGTTGTGTCCGCTCTGTCCAATTATCCTGTGTTTATTAATCAATAATGTACGTGCTACTTAATTTAGTTACTTCAATACAGAATAATGAATATTTTTATTCCAGCTCTTACTTATTCATTTCACCCCAGTCATCGAGTATAGACACAGCAAATATAACACTAACCTAATCACTTGGAGAGAAGAATAGGCAACAACTCGATAAAAAAGTACACCACTTAGCGCTCATAAAGAAGAGTTCCAACTCTAGAATTGAAACTGAAATTGTTATGCTTTGAGGGAAGTGACCATTTGAGGGGGTAAACGAGGCAATATTTGGATGAAAGCCTGTAAAATTCAGCTCAAGGCATTATCTTATGTTTCCGATTATTAATACAATTCGAATTCATGATTTGAAAATAAATGAATATTGAGACTCAGCAACTGGTACGGGTTTTCAAGAGTCCTTTGGGAGGATCATATACAAAGGAGATACCCATGGGCTGTTCGATGGTTGGATAATTCCTAAGTCCGTCATGCGGTCGAATTCATTTTCGGCCAGTCTTAGCTTTTCGGAAGCTAGTCGATGTGTTGTCGAAAATAGAGGTGGTCCAGTAGTTGTGGTGTGGTTTGTGACATTTCTGGTTCCACATGGTAGTTGCAGTCATCTTTTGTAAACATGAGTCGGCCCTATGAGTAATGGCGAACGGGCAAAACCTACGATAAGGAAGTGAGGTTGTGAAGAGTCGACTGCATGAGAGGGTCTGGAAGATAAATGAAAAAAGTCAAGGTGAGCCGTTGACTCAGCATATAGAATGCGCCTACATTTGATGGTGACAGCAGCCAAAAATAATTAGCAACAACAGCCGTGAAATTAAATCATTCTGAAGACAATTATCACACACTGCTTTTCAAACTCTCCCAGTATTCAGCGTAGATAGGCACAAACCCGTTTAAGGCCGAGCCCAACGTTTGTCCTTGAGTGGCTTACCATATGACCTTGTGGCGTGAAATAAATACTCCTGCCCAACTGTTTGGTCATTTGAACTTTTCGGTACAGCGAGGTAAAAAGCTGTAAGATAATTCCCCAAAGTTTTTTACTTACTTGTTAAGGACAGAGCTCAACGGCGAGACTCTAGTTAATGGATTAGACAATCAGAAGCGTTTTAGAGATTTCAAGGTTACGGCGCCAACTTCAGTACCTAATGCTAACGTACGATTGTTTCATAGGGGATTTTATACAAAACGTGATAATTGAGCGGCTATAACAAATAAAACGGCGTATCTGAGTATATGCGTAAGTGCTGGTGCTGGTGTGAGTAATGAGATAAGTTCACTTATGATGAAAGCCAGGATGGCTTATGCCAATCTGGTTCATCTCTGGCTCCGTGGTTAGTCTGGCTTTAAAAGGTCAGATCTGCAACGCGTCAGTGACAGCATTTTTTCTGTATGCTTGTAGAACCTGGCCTCTCCGAGTTGAGGATGCTAGACAACTGTCTGTGTTTGATCATCGTTTTCTCCAAAAGACCCAAGTAACCAACAAAGGGGAAATAAAGGGGAAAATGCGTTGGAAGAGAAAGAGAAAAACGCGCCAGCACTCGAGTGCTGACATTCAGTAGGAAAATCATGTTAATAGCGTGGAGCTTCGGCAGCATGTATCTAGGTACAGTGACGACCATTTAATTGATGTCACCATCGTGGGACACCGACTTTGATGGCTTGGACATGTATATACGAATGTCGTCACAGCAAATTCTACACCACGCATTATTTGTCGATGCTGGGGGAGGTCAGTACACGACATAGTGTCACGGTATGAAAGAAGGCTGTACAGGACTGGCTTTTGTTGATCTTTCACGGCTCTCTGACTGGAGTCCTAGATGTAGCACAATGTTGTTTAGTAAACCCTAAAACTTTTACAATATTTTTGGGCTTTTTGTCCCATTTTTACAACCTTTAATGAAACTCCTTCAAAATTGGCGAAACTTTCCTCAAAGTTGGAAAATCGGAATCATGAATATTTCGAAATTTATTATGAGTAAAATAACAAACTCACCAGCCATTATAAATGGGAGATGTGTTTACTACTCAAGATTTATAGTTGCGAAGGTAAACACAACTAAGTGCCACAGATGTAAGGATAGTAAGGGGAGATACTCATAACTTTAGGGTTCTACAACAACTCATACTAAAGTCTTATCAATATGAGATAGGCTTGAGTGATTCGCTAGGTTGTCACTGCGAATGAGATTGGGGACCTAAGAACTGCCCTATTTTATTGGTTTCTAAAAGCCAACGGAATAGATTTCAGAAGAAAAAATTACCCCACTAACTAAATGTGTGAATATATATTATGATATGTTTATGTACATAATATAGAACCAAAATAGCGTGACTATGAACTTCTTGTCAATTAACAAACAAATGATCTAAAATAGAGATGAGAGTCAAAACAACCAGTGATCATTCACTTCGTCTCATGATAATAAGGACTTCTCAAATAAGCTTTTCAAATACGCGAAGTTCATGGGATGACATAAACTAGCCTCTCTTAAATCAGTTGAGAAAGTTAAGGATAGAACTCAACCATCTGAAGTTTCATTTCCAGTTAGTATACGGGAGTTCTTGTAAAGATAACCCTAGTCTTGTTGAACCAAAATTTTCAGACACAAAAGTTGACTTTCACAGCAACGCTTGTAACGATGTAGTGGAGTCACGTTTCGCTTAGTCAGCTGTATTCCTAAATTCAGTTACTTCATGCACCACAATCCTTTATGTCTGTTTGGTACTCACTCGCTTCACTCACAGTGGTTTGGAAACCATATTGGTTATGAAATCCAATCACACGAAATCCCTTCACAATTAGGTACCCCACTATTTTGACAACTGTCGTTTGTTGCACTTTCGGCTGATTGTATTTTACTACCGTCAGTTATGCAAAGATCAACACTGGATTTTGTGCAGGTTTCTAGTAATAGGTTCCCTTATAAGGTGAAGGCGAATTTAATTGTGAAGAGATCCTTCCGTCCGAATGTATGTTTCTTAATGGTAGCATTGGCCACTATTTCTCCATCCAACTTGATCTGCTGAGGAAAGACGTGGTTTTTCTCCAATATAACGCCCCAATATATTTTAAACAATTATTTATGGTTTAGGCCTTCCAAAATACATTTGTCAGAGCGTTTGATACTAGTGCGAATCGATTTTTTGATGTAAATAGTGTACACTGTGTTGGTTTATAATTATTTCCGTTATTATTGGTACACTTCGAAATTTCTTGAATTTTAGGATTTTGATTTTCCTGTTTCATTTTTAGAACTGCAAACTTATTTTGCTATATTGGCGTGCATTTTCTGATTCCAGTTCAAATAAATGTGGGTGGTGTTCTTCAGCTTCAGCTTATGCTAGTCCTCCATCTGTTCTATCCCGTAAATTGGTTAATTTTTGTCAGGAGATAGTATTGTTCATTTAATGACCTGATAGGTAATAACAATATCTGAGCTTGAATACATGAACAGGACATCTATCTTTGTGGCATCGTCTGTTTTTGTGGCGTCTGCGTTCACTCTGTTTTGTTTCTCGAGACTATTTCAAAGACCGCATGTTAAAAAAGTCTCGTTCAAGCCATCAGTGCCTCGTTTCACATTAGGCGATACGTCACTCCCTAAAGTTATCGAATTCGACAAGGGAAATTTAACGCTTGATTTCTGTACATCCATCTGTACACTGATCAATATATCTGATTATGACACAAGACAGAAGCTTATCATCAGTCTTCATCAAGCTTCATCATTTCGTCGGAACTTTGTAATTAATTAATTTCATCATTAACTATTTGATTTCAGGATGTCATTAGGGACTCTAAGTGCCTAGAACTCCTCCTATCTCTCCTGGATTCTACCTCAGGGACGTTATCAGGACGCCAGCAAAACCTAAACATTCTTCACGTTGTAATGAACTTGGTGTGCGATCAACAAAATTTTCCAATCATAAAGGTATGAGATTTCCATTCAAATAATCTCTTTAGGACTATTTCGATGATATTTTATTAATAGCAAATGCAGTGGAATACAGTGATCAAGCATGCGTTGCTCTTCAGGTCCTCGGTAATATAGCATTAACTCCAGATGGATGCAAATTGCTACGTAATAAATGTGGTTATCTCTGTAATATGTTAAAAATGCGCGATCCATATGTCCTACGAAATCTACTAGTAGTTTTTGTGAATCTGTCCTGTGACATAGATTGTTGTGGTGAAATTCTTACACAGGTATATCTATAGCTTTCATATATGGCTTCAGGATCATGAGGAATTTATGAAAACTTTGGAGTATTCATTGTCTTCGAGTGCACCCATATCAGTTTCTCTAAAAATGATCGTTCTCCTCAATAATCTATATTCTTGGATGATACAGAAGCAAGAAACTTCACGGAAATCATCTGATTCCTCACCCTCTTCAAAGTCTATAGCTAATTCACTTAAGGTATGCTCTAGTCTATGGTCTGTAATGTGATTTTAAAGTTTCTGTTCAAATATCCATTCTTTTGCATGTATATGTTTATATTTCCAGAAGTTCAAGTTTCCAGACAATGATATTTTCAATAAGACACTATTGCTCCGAATTGTGTAAGAAATTCACTATCGTTTTTCTGTATGGATTAGATTTTTCATTTCCATACAGGATCATATTGTTCACTATTTCAACTACTGAGTACTGATCGTGCTTTTGGTTTATTTGTATTTTGTACTTTGATCGCTTAATACAATGTCGGCGGCTAAGCTGGACGGATCTAGAAGATTTGGCAAATTTCGGTCCCTGATCAATATTGCCCATATACGTGGTTCCCGGGATTCTGATATAATGAATAGTATATGAATTTATTACAGTTACTGACCATTATATAAATGTATTCGATAACGTTTCTTTATTGCTCCATGAATCAGAATCACTGGTCAAAGTCATCGTTAGTGGTCTCTTTAAAAATCTACTTGGTTTGGTGTGGGTACTCGAATAACATATGCATTTTGCTACAGATGTCAGCTGACAGTTGATTTTTTGATAGTTTCGTATAGTACTAGGCACACGACTCGATGCCTTCGACTAAATGGATGGGTTCTTTTAGAAGACATACACTGGTATGCCATCTCGGAATAATGCAATGCTTATCAGACTTTGTTCAAAGGGACTCGTACCAACCGATCATGCAGGCCATAAAACTGTGGCTGTAGTTTTCCGCACTTCTCAGATGATTCTTTCATTATGTTTTTAGTGAGTGTACATGATATGCTAGAAAAGTTCCTGATACATGGAGAAGACATCTATTATTCCTACCTGAGTCGCGAACCAGCTTTATCATATCTAGTTCTTCGTGTTGTGGTTCGATGATGTATATAAAGATAACCGAAGCAGTCCACCTACTCAGTTACGTCTATTACTGTTGCCAAACTATTTTATGACTCAGATCGGTCCTGAAGCCTCAATTTAAATCTTCGGAAATAGGACTGGGAAACATTTCAAACCCCTTCATAGTTCTACTCAAGTTTTTTTCGTGGTGCCCAGATACTGGCGCTACTTTAATAACCGTATAGAACGAATATGATGTTATTAGAAAGATGTATTGGTAAGAATAGGTTGGAGAAACAGTGTGACTACTGCCGCATGTATCAGTCCATGATGTACAATTTATTAACTAGCATAAGTCATCCTTGATTTTGACGATGTTCGATAGACTATCTAACTATCAGTGATCTGTCGTTTAACTTAGAAACAGTTCAGCCTGATGGATGATTTGACTAGGTTCCAGTGAGGTTTTACTGGTTCTACAGAACATTACTTTTAGATGCACATCAATGCTAAAATTAAATAAAGAATGGTGAAACTAGACAGCCCTGATGAAGATCACTTTATTTATGTGATGATATTTGGTAGAAAAAGTCTGCTGGATATGTAGTTGTCAGTGGTTTATGCAGCTGTAATTTTTTTGTTTGGTCGTTAACGTTCGGTAATAGAAGATGCAAAAAAAAGATTATAACTGGCAGGTGCAAAGTCATCTTTTGGATTGTCATCCACATTTTTTTCTACTAACTAATTCTTTCTTCCTGTACTGTATCCTTATATGCAATTTTTCTCCTATATATTACCACCTTTGACCTAACCACTCCTATGAATCCGGTGTTCATCTTGCTGTGCTAATGCGGTATGGCAACCTGGACCGATGCATATATGTGCCTGGTCCTACGTTGTAGCTGACTGACTGACTGAAATGATGTAAGTGGTCTTTTCTATCTGGTTTTAATCAACGTTCTTTTTTATGAAATTGGGTTGTTAACCCCATGCTCAGCGCTCCTCTTTTACCCAGGCATCGGATCTGGAGTATCCATAGAACGTCTCCAGACGGAGTAACACTTTTCAAAAGCTAGAATGATAATCAGTAGTTCAATAATATTTTAAAATCTTTTCCAATGAACTATGGGTCATAATGAATTTTGATTGGTTGAATACTCTGTCGAGGGTCAAATCTGTGACCGACAGTATGCAACCAAACCAACTATCAGTTGTCTGTCAGTACTTTAATCGCCGACATTTTTCCACTCGTTTTTAAAGAATTTCACTTGTTGTCTTTTCATTATAAAAGTGAAAACTAGTTGAAGGTTACTAGATTTAAATGGTTACATGAAAAGCAGATTCTACTGTAATTTACATATCTTCATTCAGTTTAGACATGAAGTTTTTATTGTTCGACTGATTATTGCCAATTTATTTTTTCTTTGCCGTTTATTTTTATATATGTCCCTTTTGTTTTCCAGAATAATTGCACTCTAGTTAAATCGTGGATTATGTTCTTGATATCTTCATCAAAAGACCCGGGTGAGCTCGAATTTCATTTGCAAAAGCTTGTATCTTCTTTGGAAAAGGTGGAAAATTTCAACGTTGAGTTATGATGTCCAGTGATTTTGCCATCATACATTACATTTATCAAACGTTAAGCAAATTTTTGTACATTTTTATTTTTCCTCAAATAAACTTCATTTCTTTCGATGTTTTATCTTGTATATTTTCTTTTTGTTGCTTCGCTGATGGAAAAAAATATGATGTATCCCAAAACTTTTAGTCATGCTACCCAAAAAATCTTTATCGACGCTATTTGGGTTCCTCAACACTCCAGTGTTATCAGAAATCAAAGTTTTCAATTGTCCTGACCGTAATGAATACTCTATTATAGCTGAGTGGACGCAGACTGACACTTTTCGAAAAGACAGTGTTTCATATTCAAGAAATTATCTGGTCACCTTACCACAACATGACATGCATGAAAATCTACATGTGGACTACACTTCACAACTACAGTTTACCTCATTTGGACAGTGTTTTCCTTTCGCCTCACAGAACCATGTACGTACTATTTGGGATATTAAGTCTCCTGAAGGTTGTCACCGAGCTGTATGTATCGAATGTAATCCTCCACTGGCTTCAAATCCTTCAAAGTCTACTGTCGCTAGTACTGCAGAATCAGGTATTTTCATTCAAGTGTGGATAAATGGACGTTTCACCAACTCTATAAAGCTCCCAACACTTAATGCTCGTCATGGTCGTGTCTATCCTTCGAATAGTTCGACATTCCATGGAGCTCGATGGTCGAATGCAAGAGATAAGATTGTTTATTTGGCAGAAGTGTGTAATAATCCTAGTGAGGTAATAGTTTTTGTCATTTTTTATAATCATCGTATACGTTATCGAAAACGGAAAAATATGTTTCATAAGTGTAAATTTCATTTGCCTATTCTTGAAAGCCTACCTACTTATTAATAAGTCGTAACCTCTGACGTATTATTATCAGTATAAAGTATGTAATGTTTTTAAGTTTTATTAATTGATCTAGTGCGTCTCAATTGAACAGCTTCAAGTAATAATATCTATCTAGTACGGCCGAGGATGGGGAGAGTCTGCTCCCTTTCCAGATGCTCTCATATGGCCACGCCTATATAACCACTGCCAGGAAAGTCTTATTCACTGCTTCCTCATGGCAGGGTAGTTGTTTACGGAATTGAGACGATGAAAAGCAAATATCCGGTGCTTAAAACGGGTTGGTGGATAAGGCGGATTCTCCTGGGAGATTTTTAAAACTCTGATTCGAGTTAATGGCATACATGCGTTTCACTATCTTGAGGGAACAAATAGCGTACGGAACTATTGTTGGTGACCGGCTACCATGGGACCGCATCACCTAATGGTGCTCCACTATCTTGTGGTTTAAACTTCTGGGTTAAAGGCTTGGGGATTGGTCCTCTAGTCAAATCACTTCGGTTTGGACACCTGGGTAGTATTCCAGCCCATATACAAATTCAATAGCTTGCGTGGCGCGTATATATTTTTGTACCCTTTTGTACCACTGTTTATGTATTTAAATGAACAAATCATAGGTGTTCACATGTTCATGTACTGAATTCAACCTATTACGTAATGTAAATAAAATAAACTTGGCCAAATTTGAAACCATAATAAAGTGATCTGTTAGTAAGTATTATCTTTCTAGACATATTTTAGTTCTTTTCAATGTAATTACAATATAAAGTAAGTTTATTTACAAGATCTCACGAATTACAAAGATGGAGCAGTTTAGTAATAATATGTATCGATTTGATATTGGGATCTAATCCTCATGAATTATAGTTTTTTTTTAATTTTACGCTTAATATTCCTCTCTCAGCATGTATATATTGTTTAATTTCTTACTGTCAGTAGTAACCTTACGCAGCAATTAATCATCAGTATGTACTTGTTGGGGAGTGGCCCCTTAAGAAAACCACCTGCTTCGGTTTGGGCACCCGGGCAGTATCACAGCCCTCACACATATCAAATGAGATTTGTGTGGCGCATATGTATTTGGTGCCTCTTTGTACCAATATATATGTGTTGAAATAAATAATGTACTTGTTGGAAAGTATTACTGTTCTATGTGTTTCACTAATTCTCTATTTCTTAATCTAAACGCTGCATTAAGAACTAATTAGTCTTAAGAAGATTTAATCTTTTTTTCTTTCTTTCGAATTTTCTTCTTTTGCTTATTTTATTTTACAAATTTAGTGTAAGTTTATCGATTTATACGATAAACTAAAGTTGATTTTTAGTTATTGTCTGTTGTGCATTAAAGCTAAGAATTATGGGTTTGTTTGTGATATAGTTCAAACATCTTGGTTTTCATTCAAAGTTCGTACGTACGTATGAAGTTCTACGTTGTTACTGACTGATTGACTGACTGACTGAACTAGAATCCAATTAAAATATGATATTTGCTTTGCTAGAGAAAGCACTAAGTAAGCTAAACAGAGGCCAATATACTGGAAAAAATCATCATCTGTCTTTAGGAAAGCTATGATCTATGAACTATACTCAGCATGTGATTTGTCATAACTAAGTATTTTTCATATATGTGATTTTTTTCTAATTATTAATCAATATATAAATGAGTATATTTCCGACTAGACTTGTCGTCGTTGTTTATGCTTCTAGCTGCTTGAAGAATACATTTCCGTCTTCCGAACTTGGACTTCTCTCTTTAGTTAGCGGGGCTGGGACGCATCGGAATAGCTAGCTCATCTGTCATTGTGTCACAGAGTCTTCGTTCCGTTCTCAGATTAGGTGAACTCGTAATCTCTTCAGACATAACACAACCCATCGAAGATCAATGACTTTATACTCATTCGCTTGTTAAACTGTAAGCTACACAATAAATGAAGACTTTATCTAAGCCTTGGAAGAGTTGAGTGTCTAATTTAATTAGCTATATCTTTGTCTATGGTAAAGGGTATTCAGTGTTTAGTGAATGGACGATGAAATCGAAAAAGAGAACTTAATACCACAAGACTGTTTATTAGGAATTTTTGAAAATTAGACAAGTGTTGGGCTTCGAAAGTATAACTGTTGTATAAAGTGACTATGAGAAATTACTGATGGATAATATATCATTTGTCACAGGGCACATCGTCGGTAAAAATTTTTAACGGTATTATTGAATGATTGGATTTGGTAAATAATTTGTGAAAATCAAATTTGTCAAAGCATCATTAGCTACCTGACAAATATCTCAGTTTTGTGCTATGTAGTGTTGTAGCCAATCGGTTAGAACACTCAACTTTCAATCTTTAAGTCACAGGTCCGAACTCCGCTCCACTTATTTTTTGTTTGAGCAACCGGATAGTATCACACTACGACTTACAATCAAACACTAAAATTATAGGTGAATTCTATATTTTGTTGATGTTGTTAACCCCAATATGTTCCCCATCGGATGTACTTAGTCTTTCTAAGCAGACAGATATACAAAAAACTGACATAACGGATGGTTTAAAATACATTTCACTTATATTACGATAATACGTCAAGACGATAAGACTATTTACGTTATATCAGAACCAGGATTCACAACCTAAAAACAGAATCAAATTAACACTAGATAGTACTTTATTCAATTAGTGAGTGCGGTGTAGGAATCAATGAGAGGAAGGGAAACTACATATTTAATACTGCGAAGGATGAGTGCCTGTTTGTTAACTTTCAGTGACCAATCATATTTCACTTTCACTACCACATATCAAGAACTGAATATATTTTTCCGCATAATAGGGATCTAAAGCATCAAAGTGGAGTTTTGATTGTTCTTATTCAGTTAACAACAGTTTTAGAATGTTTGTAATTTTCATTTATGATTTACTGATTCGTAGCTGAGTGGCTTTTTATCGTTACAAGTCTTCTTTAGGATCAATCATTTTTATGAAAATGTTAGCAACATTCCCGTCGTCACCCTGTCGTTTCGATACTATGTGTGTGATTCAATGTGCTAACTGTTTTAATACAATAAAAAATAAACCGAATTTTGAAAGTGATCCATTGTGGATCAATCTTTATTAGCTCAAAGATAGCATTAATACATCCATCAAATCTCTTTCAATTTATGTAATTTAATTATTATTCCTAGAATACTACTACTAATGATCAGTCATTCAAAGATGACCCTTCATCGTTTGCATTCCAAGAGGATTGGGGTGAAGGCAATGAAGGATCGCATAAACCGAAGCTTTGTATACTTGATCTTACTACCGAAACTGTTAGTTTTGCTCCAATCGATGAAAATAAGCATAATTTAGCTTGCAGTGAACCGTTATGGAGTCCAGATGATAACGGGATTATATTTGTTGGTTATCCTTCGCAAGCTTATAATCTTGGATTAATTTACTGTATTCAACGTCCATCTCAACTTTATTTTTGGGACATAAGTAAGTTATGGTTGATTTGTAAAACAATGAAGTCAGCAATTTTTTCTGTTCATAAATTAATACACAGAGGTGTTAAGTTATACTCTTTTTTTCCAAATTTCAAAGTGAAGTTTTCGTTGGATAACATTAGCCTCATGAATGCCTCTAAAGTAGTAAGTAAGTTAAGATCATTCAAACAAGTCAACAAATAAGATATTCTTAATTATTGACTTACGTTGTGATGAATCTCGTAAAATTTTAATAAGTTTAATTAGAATCTGGTAAAAATCAACAGTTAAATGCTCCAAAACGTTTTGTCTGTTTATATTAGTCTAAAGTGAAAGTAATTTTCAAACTAATTGGTTCCTCAAAAACCAATAGGTTGAACCAAACACGCTTGAAGGAAATATTTTAGCAGCTGATCGTTAGTTAGCAGAAATATTCTCTGATCATTGTGGACGTTTTTTCGATGAAGTCCTAAGTTAGAGGATGAAGCTTATCCACAACTTTCTTTCATAGTTTTGAACATAGACTGATGTCAGCTAAAAAAGTTATTGGAAGTTAGGGAACATTAAGCAGGTGTTTTGCCTTAGTTTCAGGCTTTTCAACATTCACATTTACGGCCATTCACAAAACCCAGGCAGCGATCTTTAGACCTCTCAGTAAACATGATGCACATATTCACTGTATCGCAACTCATCTGTCTACGTTCTCTTAACTAGAATCAATTCCTAACGTCATCCAACCGGTTACAAATGTCATCGATTAGGTATTATCTCACTTTTTACGTAGTTAATCTTACAGATCATGGCTTCTTATTGGAAAACTCAGAGAAACCCACTTTTCACTTATCATTGAGGCATATGTCTTAAAATACATCTCTGTTATGAAAACCCTTTTTGATTGCTAATATATCGTATTTATTAAATGTGGAAAAGCCATAAGCCACCAATGGTAGTTTTTCATAGATTTATCTAATTTTTACAAAATAGTATTTACTACTTATATTTTTCGGATAATCTTACCACTTCTTGCTTCTTCAAAGAAAAGAATAGTATCGAACCAATCAATGTGCCTGGTTATTCAGTTCAATGTCCGCGATTCAATCCAAATGGTACTTATTTAATTTGGCTTCAAAACCCTGTTGGTGGACCACATGGTCAGTGTGTTTCATTAGTTGGTACTCAATGGCCAATGAACTGCTTGAAACCTGAGGTTATTATACCAATTATCAATAGTCCATGCAGTGATTATAAGTGTACTATAGATAGATTTCCAGGTAATAATTTTGTTACTATTTTGTGTGTTACGGAAATTGTTAAATTTGAAATGTCACATCATGGACTGACTTTGGTTAAACAACAATTGAAGCCAGGAAGCAATGGATAGCTTTTTAGTGCTAGTATGGGACTCGTCAGTAGTGGACATTTTTCGATTCTACCAGAAATCAAACGCGGTATCTTCAGAATTCTCAATGAATGCTGAACCTTCCAACTAATGATCTGGCATCCAAAGGTTTATATTCCAGAGTAAAAATAAATCTAGAGTTGAATGATACAAACTCGTAATTCCTCATGGTCTTTTTCAGTTTACCTATCATTTGTTCCGATACTAAAGTTTGATGTAACTGACATTTTATGGCAAGAGTTTGCATTGGATTAAAGTGTTACATCATGATCGTAATTGTATAACTTCTTTTCGTATGGATGAAACTATTTACTCCATAAATGATTTTGAGTAACAGAGTGACTCATTATTATTCTTGTTCTTTGTAAGCTTAAAGTAATTTTAGATTATACGTGTAATTAGCACGATAACTAATCTATATTTATGAAAGATTGTCTGACTGAGAATCAGTGTTCTGTTTGATTGACTTCGTTTAAACTCCAAGGTTATATTTGATATTTATTCTGTCTCATTTGGATTTCGTTAGTTAAGTGTACCTGTATTCCAGTTGCCGTGGTGTACATACTGTTACTCAAATTTGTCATTCATCATTTAAGACAGCAGATTACTACTTAATTATCTGGTTATTTAGGGTATGATAAATAGCAACTTGGTCAGTCAAAGTAGAACTTGGCAGATATGTGCATCGGTTCAAGTTGCTGCACTACATTAGCACAGCAAGATAAAATGATCAAGACAAATCCCAGATCAGTAGAAGTGGTAACAGTATCACTAGTAGTAGAGAAGACTAGGTATCAAAAAAAGAAAACGAAATCTGAGATCTGGTGACTCAAGATGTGAAGGGAGATGAATAGTGGATTAAATACTACCATTTTTGTTGAACAGTTATTACTTTTTATTACAAAAGCACTTTCGGGTTGTTTACTTCAGCCAAACTGAATTATTCCTCAATACCATACCGATTAATAGCGAATTTGAGGATGGGCAATTTACGTTGTTTTGAAATTGTTAGCACTAATTTCATCTTGTAATAAAAAATCTGTAATTTCAGGTTATTCAATGAAATTTTAGTTTTAGTATAGGGGGTTTGTAAAGATTGTGAAGTTTTGTAGTTTACCTCACTGACTGACCTCAGCGCGAAACTTGAAAGTTCTGGTTTTGATTCTAAGCTGAGTCGTGAATGAACACTGCTGAGGAATCTCTTACTAAGACGAAATGGTTGTATAGCACCTTCTGGCTTTTCAATAGTTATTTGGCTACCATAAATTTATTTATCTAACAAACTTGGTACTGGTTTTTATTCTGACATGTTAGGTGAAAGTAAGTCATGGTTAGTCAGTATGAAAAGGCATGCACATCCAGTTACACTAAATTTAAGAGATTATTTTACATGTAAAATCGATTCCACTTTGACATCACTTTTTAGATGCTGTGTGTTGTGTTAATAAGTCCTTGTTCCAGTCTATATCCAGTTCTTAATCGCTTGTCCGTTAATTGAGTATGTTCGTTATGTAGTGCGTAGTCCAGTGTTAGTACTGCTGATCTATTATCTAACATCTAGTTTCCTCCAGCCTAGGATAGGATCTATGAAATTTTATTTTTTCATTATAATGCATTCCTGTACGATTTTAGTCTACAAACTGGTTGGTTAATTATTGTTATAGTAATTGTATTGCTAATTCGAATCCTAACACATTGTCGGCCGAACCTCAATGGTTTAAGTTCAATTTTTCCCGTAGGATCATGGATATATGTATTACTGAGAAGTTTCGAAATTTAAATAGAATTATTACTTGGTAGCAGGCAGTTTATACTATTAACATTTAAGCCCATATCAACTGGGGGGGGGCAATGGAAAAAATCCACTTTGTCATATTGCAAATTTGATTGACAGAATTCAGTTAAGATCGACGGTTAGACCAGTATATTACTAGATCAATATTGAATAGTTGAATAGTGTGGCTGATTTGTTCCCTAATAAATTAAGCCATTACATGAGTTTATAGCTCGATAATAATAATGTTAGTAATAATAATGTATTTGACTCCAGCTTTATGTTACTCGAATCTTGATCCTTACATTTGCTTACATTGATAAATTGTGAATAAGTACAGGATTTAGATATAGGGCTTCTTGTTGATTGTTTCAAATTATTCAACATCAACTGTAATAACTTAATGAAATGGTGACTTAGTGATTGAATCAATTGACTATTGAACGCTGAATGCACTCCCAGTTCAAACTATGGTTCATTTATACTTGAGTTGAAGCAACTTGGCAATGGCATCGTTCGGTTTCACACACAAAGTACTTTAGCTGAAAGTCATGTATGGGAATCGAAGCTCATGAATCTTCTCTATAAATTATTAATTGATAGCTGCATGCTTCATTGTGTTCTTTACTTATCTTTATATTTTATGGAGTATGGTATCGTTATTTGGTGAAAAATTTTCAGTTGTTAGAGTGAAAGATCAATAGACAATACATTTGAGTGAATGGCTGTTCGCATAACTGAATTCTTGTATTATTCTGTCGTATTATATTTTTAGGACTGTATTGTAAATTAGCAGATCGTTGTTGGTCTAGTGATGGACAATATGTATTAGTCTCATCATGTTGGGGATTCGAGGTTGTTGGACTTCTTATTTCAGTGACTGAATCCATTGCCCAATCAAGACCAGTTGTATATAAACTGCCTAAGTTGTATTTATCATCAGATGGAACCACGTTGTCATCATCATTATCAATTTTAGATGTTTACGATGATGTTCTAGTGGTCTCTGTCAGTTCTCCAATTCATCCACAGCATATAGCTGTATTAAATTTAAAGTATCTGAATTATGCTAATTTGTCTTCTGATCTTAATCAGCGTCCGTAAGTGCTACATACTCTGATTTATTGTATGTATGTACTAATAGTTTCAAATTATTGCTTTAAATCTTAGGGTGAGGTTATGAATCTTTATTAACTGAGGTGTTAAGGATATGTGCAGCATATTTTTAACCACTGCTTACCTCGACAGACAATATTTGCTAGTATCGAAGTAGGCTGGAAGAATGCTATGGGAGCTTAAACCAAGATATATTATTCCATGAAATCATTGACTGTTAATTCATGCAGATCACCTGCTGAGGTCTGCAAAATTATCTTAACCAATCGTTAGAGACTTTGAGTGACATGGCTCAGATGCATTCACTCTATCTTTCGACCTTGAATTCTAGTATACCTTTATACATACCTTTTAATTCGGTCTTTTCAAAATGCGTACTCAATATTCAATTTTTCTCACTGTCAATGCTACTACATTATTTCAGTTCGTTTGCTATTGATCTTGTTAATTTCATCTCGTCCTGGTAATGGGATATAACAACTCCGGTTAACATATATTTGTTTTACGGTCTTAGTTAATTATGAATGGTTTAGAATGGAGATATAATTTTGCGTCAAGTGTCGATTAATAGGACCATATCAGTTGAGTTATTATATATCTGTTGTATTATACATGTGGTTGTATCTCACAGAGATAAACTGGTTTGAACTGTTGGTCACTCATCTAAATTTAATATCAGGATCATGTAATCTTAGTAGTCATATGATATATATATACGACTTACAGTTTACTGTGTTGATTTATTTATTACCATTGAATAAAGTATATCTACACTAGTTTTCTCTTTTTTTTAATGCAAATACATTGAAATTTATAGCGTTACAATTCAATAGCTTAGATATTCAACATTTGTGTTCCGACTGATCGTCCGTTGAATCAACTTTTAGGTTTTATTTTATTTTAGGATGTGTCTCAGTTACTGTATATAATCGTGAATTGGATGACGGAAGTAGGGAAACGAAAACGGATAGATGAGGATTTATTTGCCATTTAAAAATAAATCAAATTAATACCTGAGTACATTAATTTTTATATAATTTATTTACAGTTAGATTTGTATAGATTGATATGATAAACTTTTCAACTCCATTTTAAATATCATTGTACGAATTATTCATTCGCATTACATACATCATTTGAGATCTTGTCTCTTAGTAAAATAACATTCCAGGTTTCCAACAGTGGTCTAACATCAATCGGTTCATGATCTCAATCCAAAACTTGATAATCTCCACAACCCCTATACTGATAATTATATATACATTAGTAAATTGACAAAAATGGTCATTTGGAAAACACTAAACTTGGATTTTAACCATTTTTTTTAAAAAAAAAACCATTCGCATGTATGATGCATTTATAACCAATTCATTTGTATATCTTACTCAAATTTTAATTTCCTAGATGGTTAATCATTTCTGATGGGATTGATTTAAAACAAAATCATTTACGTTCATTGAAAGGTATTGATTGGTCAATTCATCAAATAGAACTGGAAAATAAATCAGATAACCAAATAAATTCATTTGAATGTTTACTAGTTCATCCTATACTTCAAGATGATGGTTCAATTCAACAAATAGATCGTAAGATTTATTAACTTAATTATGATTATTTTTGACAGTATGAAATAGTTTATATATTAACTCTCATTTGTGTACTGTCTAGATATTGTGTACTCTATCAAAAGAAAAGTTATAGAAGAAGTTCATCACTTGAATAATACCGTATAGTTGTGTCATACTTGAATGTCAGAGATTAGCAAAAATAACTTATATCCTGTGGTTTGTGATATTGGTACAACGAGGCACAAAATACATATGCGCCACACAGATCTCATTTGATATGTGTGAGGGCTGAGATACTGCCCGGGTGCCCAAAACGAAGCACGTGGTTTTCCTAGGGGGCCACACCCGGAGCCTTCAACCTGAAGGTCTGATCCACAAGGCAGTGGAGCAACATAAGGAGATACATTCCCATGGTAACCGGTGACCAACGGTTGGTTCATACGCCATTTGTTCCTTCAGGATACTAGAGCCCATGTGCACCATTGGTTTGGAATCAGAGTTTTCCAACTCCCTTAGGTGGACTCTCCATGTCCACCAACCCGGTTAAAGCGCCGGACATTCGCTTTTCGTCCTCTCAATTTCGTAAACAACACCCGTGATGCGAGAAGGCAGTGAGTAGGAATTTCATGGAAGAGACTATATACGCGTGGCCATGTGAGAGCATTTCGAGAGGGAGAGCGGACTCTTCCAACTCTCGGCTGTACCAGGGCATTTAGGGGCCAAATATTTTTTGTGATCAAACAAGCTTTTCAAACTGGACAAAATGTCAAAAATTGTCACACATAAGAAAAACAGTGGTTAGAAAAGAAAGAATTTCTGTTAAAAATAGACTGAAATATTGAAATGTATACATTCGATGGTTCAGTGGAGCTAACAAAAACTATGCGTTAAAGCATACAAGTTAATTAAATGTTTAAGCCTAGCTCAATCTACTGAGTGTTATTTAAATAATATGACGTAACACACAAAATAAGCAGCTAATGAAGAAAATAAATTAATATAAATCCATTTCATTTTATTTATTCGAGTTCTAATTTGATTGCCTCGTTTTACTTATGTTCCTAAAATTTTAAATACGTAGATTGGTCTAACTATAATGTACAATTCATCATTGATCCGAAGATGAATGAAATTTCACACTGTTTAATGCTATTTTTCAGTATCCGATTTCACATTTGCAAAAGATTTAACAGAAATTGTAGCATGTAGACTTCGTGGTTTAATTGTCATGCCTCATGGTGGTCCACATGCACATTCAAGTGCTTCTTGGTCTTCGATGATCGCTGGATTTTGTTCGGTAGGCTTTGCTTGTTTATTAATTAATTATCGTGGATCACTTGGTTATGGCAATGCGTTTGTCCAAGATTTAATCGGATATATCGGTGAAAAAGATGTGTCTGATTGTGTTCAAGTAAGCGATTTTTCAATTTGTTTCTCTATTTTCACTCATAAAATAAACCAACTCAACGATTTTCTGGAACAATTTACATAGAATTTGTGATGTTATTGTCTCATATATATTATTCGAAAGACGGACTTTGTGTCACACAATCAGTGTTTGAACGACGACAATTCCTCTCTGTGTACAAATTATATCTGAAACAGTCTCTGTGATATCGAAATGATATCTAAGCGATCCTGACTGTTTCCCGATTGTCTGTCCCAAGTTTCTTTTCTGACAGTTACAAAAAAGTGATATCAAATCCAAAACTGTAGCATTTATCGAATTTTCCATCTGCTAATGTTTGTTATTGTTATGTCCTGAGATTTCGCCCTTGTTAATGTCTACCGTCTGATTGCTTTTAATTGACATTCGGAAAGGGCGACGAAAAGTAAGAACATGAAAAACTAGTGAAGTGTAGACGAATTGGCTCTACATAAACGCGTCCCCAAAAGTGTTTAAAAATCACGTCTCTGTGAAATCAAAATATAACCATTTATGCACTAATTTTTGTACACAATAATGTCACACAGGGATAAATACATCAAGTTACTGAATATAATTCACGTGAGCTGTTCACTCCGCCTGTAGCTCTTCTGGGGTTACTGCCGGTTCCAAGCTTGAGCTGCAATCGGCTATAGTGAAGTGCACAGGAAAGAACCTGACCATCCTGATGACAGACTTAAGCGCCAAAGTCAGAATGGACAACAACGGTTATGAAGATATCATGCGACGACATGAACTGACTAAGAGAAACGGATGAGAATGGAGAGAGATTTGCAAATTTATGTGCATTCAACAGAATGGTTATAGGTGGCAAAATATTCCTCCACAAACACATGAACAAAGCTACATGGGTCTCACCGGATCACTACACAGAAACGGATCGATCATATTTGAATCCGTAAATATTACAGCAAATAAAAAGCCTATTTTTATTCGACTTCAATTCAAAGGTGACGATGTCACAGGATCAATCAATATGAGACTAAAAACTAAACTGGCAAGAACTTATTCTGCAGCGAAATTGATTGTCCTGTTCAAAACAACATGTTCTTTGACACAATCAAAGGTCGACAGGTATCCCTTTCATGTTACCACCAACTATGTATACAAATTTACATGTATCTGCCAAAGCAGTTACATTGGTAGAACAGAAAGGAGAGCCTACGTACGATTCAAAGAATATATTCCGAAAAGTTTAAGATTAAATGGATTGAACGCATTCAACAGTGCCATCGCAAGACATCTCCTTGATACAGGACATGAAGTTGATATACTGGAGTCCTTCAAGGTGATTAACAAACAACCAAACTCCAACCTTTTGAAATTTGCTGAAGCAATAGCGATCAAACGTTTAAAACCAGATCTATGTATACAAAAGAAGACAATAATAAATCTTTCTTTACCCTAGTAACAATAACCCCCCATTTTTATTCATTTATTTCTCTATTTATTTATTGCGTCATTACTCCAACTCTTTTAAATTACATCATACATAACTGATTGATTTCAATTCATAATTTCTTTATTTCCATTAATCTATTTTCATGAGTTCTAATCACTATTTCAATGTTCTGGAACTTTCCCTCTCTAACTTCATTTATTTATTCGAATCAAACATTTTATGAGCTCATTAACTCTATCTGAACCTTCGCTACATCATGATACACGTGTATTGATCCTTAATCACACTCTTATGTATAAATATGTCAATATCTGTAATAATGTTGAATTTCAAATGATTTAAGTTGTAAGCAGCTAATGAGAACCTAACGAAATAAAATGAATTCATGTTATTCTGCACCAATCTTTGTTCTTGCTCTCTTTAAGATAATAAAGGGAACTATGTGTATGGAATTGAAGTTAGTTGTCAACAGCACATTCCAAGACTTATAAGATCTATTTAAAGAAGAGGAAATTACTATGAAAACCAACTGTGAAGTGGTCAGACAAGCACTGATTCAGTATTCCAGGAGGTTCTGGGCTTCAAGAAGCATGACCATAAAGAATGGATCTCTATCGAGACCATGAGGAGGATTCGATTAAAGAAAGACGATAAGACAACAATTAACAACAGCCTAACAAGAATAGAGAAAGTCAAGGCACAGGCCGAATACACAGAAACAAATAAGAGAGCGTACAGGAGTATTATAGCCGACAAGCGGAAATACGTGGAAGAGGTAGCAACGACAGCGAAAGAGGCTACGAGAGAAGGGAATAACAAACAACTACATGACACAACGAAGAAACTGGTAGGGAAATGTAGTAAATCAGAGAGATCGGTGAAGGACCAAGAAGGCCATTCAATCACTGAGATTTGAGGATGGAAGAAAAGATGGGTAGAACACTTTGAGGAACTCTTGACCAGATCAGCATCATTGAATTCACTGGTCATCGAAGCGGCATACACAGACCTTCCAATGGCCTCAACATGCACAAGGGAAAAAGCAAGATCCTCAAATACAACACAGAGAACACCAACTCAATCACACTTGATGGAGAAACTTTGGAAGAGGTGGAAATTTTCATTTATCTGGGTAGCATCATCGATGAATGTGGAGGATCTGATGCAGACGCCAAGGCGAGGATTGGCAAAGCAAGAATAGCATTCCTACAGTTGAAGAACATACGGAACTCAAAACAACTGTCAATCAATATCAAAGTCACAATCTTCAATACTAACGTCAAAACAGTTCTACTGTACGAAGTTAACGTAGTGGAGAACTACCACAACCATGATCGAAAAGTCACAAGTATTTCTAAACAATTGTCTATGCAAAATACTCAATGTCCGTTGATCGGATGCCATTAGTAACAGCCTACTGTGAGAGAGAATAAACCAGCTTCTATGTGAAAAGGAAATTAGGTAAAATCGTTGGAAGTGGATTGGACACACATTGAGGAAATCGTCAAACTGCATCACGAGGCAAGCCATGACTGAATCCTGAATGCAAAAGGTAATAGGCAGACTATAGAGCTCATTGCATCGGGAATTGGAGCCAGACATCGAAAGGATGGATAGCTATCAGGAAAAACTGGAAAGGCTTATCCAGGACATAGTAGGATAGAGAATGCTGGTGAGCGGCTTATGCTTCACGAGGGGTAGCAGGCGTAAGTAAGTAAGTAATTAAGAGCTGATACAGGGAATATATTTGTCAGACTAAACGAATGTTCACACTTATCATATTGAACGAAGAAGATATTGACCTTAAAGCGTCACACCTGAATGAAGCTCATGTCTGTCACTGTGGTTGAAATTCACAACGAATTGGCCCAAAATATATTGGCCTCAATAATTTTATATTTTTATCCCGTTATATCAGTGATTAATTATTGCGATAAATAAGCAGCATTCATATTGTGTGTCCTTAATTACTTTTTCTCATTCTACTTTTGCACCTATATACATACCTACTTACATATACCTATCTCTACATAAATGCCTATTTATTAACAATAAATAGTAATGGTTTCTATAATACTATGAGATCATAATAATACTATAATAATAGTTAGCTTATGTTGAAAAAAACTCGCCTGCAAGGTGGCAACCTCAGCAATAATTGGGATGGTGGAGATTCGTAGCTCAGATGGATGATTTTGGTAGAGCTCCCAGCTCATAGAGTGGAACTCCACCAAAATCAGCAACAATATCTTTTCACTTTGTGCACAGATGTTCAGTTTTATGTCTGGACATATAAAAATGTATCGAGCAATCAGAGAACAGTTTGCAATTAACCAATGAAATTCAGGCAAAAAATTGTATGTTGAAAATATAGTTACTTATGAGTAACACAGTTATATTACACAAATCTCACAAGTTGTTCCTGTTTTAATTTATCTTGTGTAATAAATTGTCAACAGTATAAGCTTTTCTTGTTGTCCTGGTGAATTTCATTCTTACTGATGATCTAGTAGATCACCTATAGTCTTTTTATTTTGTATGAAATATGAATGATATTTTCATGCAATTACCGAGAATTTAACTAAGTTGTATTATCTTTTGATATTCATTGATTTCGTTTCCACTTTTCTGTTTTGGTTCTGAGCCACTTTATCTGTTTATTCTGTTCAGCCTATTATCAGTTGATTCATTATTTTATTGATCAATTGTAATGTTAAAATAATCTATTCACCGTTCTTGTAGTGTAGTCTTTTCATTGTTTTACTTCATATCCCCTCTTCTCTCTTTTCTCGCATCCCTCTTTTCAGGCTACTAAATTTGCATTGAATTATTTGCAGAAATTTGGGTCCAACTTGAAAGCAGTTTTATTTGGTGGTTCACATGGAGGCTTCTTAACGTTACATTTAGCCTCACGATATAAAAATTTATATCATGTAGCTACAGCTCGTAATCCAGTGGCTCATTTAGTCAGTTTTATTGATACATCTGATATACCGGATTGGTGTTATACTGAATCAGGTTTAGCAGATTGGTGTGAATGGCCTCTTGGTCATTTACCGAACGACAATGAATTAATGCGTTTGTCAAATCAATCTCCTTTGAAATATTTAGATAAAACATGGTCTGTACCTTTGTTAATGCTGTTAGGTGGGAAAGATCGTCGTGTACCAAACAGTCAGGTTAGTAGTTTTAAATTGCAAGTTATAATATTTACGAAGTATCCACAACCCAGTGCCTCCAGGCTTTCAATGTTGATCTAGCTAAGATGATTTTGTGATTGGAACTTTAGAAATCCTACAGTTTCCACAAATCCCCCTATATTATTGATGATTATTTGTTCACTAGTGAATAAATGCAAGATACGACTCCTGGAGCTTTAGTGAGAAGCTTTGACCAGTGAAGTCCAACCATATCGATTATGAGGCAGTTACCCACTGGAGACAATGGAAGATGGTCGCGCATTTTTATGGGTTGATTCAGGTTAGATATTAGCATCATTGGATGCACGATCAGTGGTCTATATGTTAAGCGTTCGCGCTCGAGTTTAAAGGTCCTAGGTTTGAGTCCTTCAAGTGCGATCGTGAACACGCACTAACGAGAAGTCTCGTGCTAGAACGAAACGGGCGTTCAGCGCTTCCGGGTTTCCAGTTGTCTAATTTGAATTAGTTCGTGATTTAACCTATTTAAGTTTTATAATCTCTACAAATCCCCTTATACTAAAAAGAGATTGTTTAATAGTTATCTCTTTTAGTGTAAATTGTCATCACTCGATACATCTTTATCACAATGATATTTTCTGTCTTATTATTTACTTGTTTATTTTAATTTTAGGGATTAACATTCTGTCGAAAGTTGAAAGCTTTATGTCCAACTGTACCATGTGAAACATTGCTCTATCCATATGATTCACATCCATTGGATTCACCAGCATGTTCATTAGATGTTTTTGTGAATTGCGTAAATTGGTTTTTAAAACACTTATAAAACTTGTGAAAAAGCATAATTCTGTGTTCTCTTTTCTGTTCATTTTTTTCACTTCGAAATAAATAAGTAAATAATTAACTTCATGTTATTTCGTTTTTTGTGAATGTACATTTTTAAAATTATTTTTGTATACATCTGTGCACACGTATGTATCCTGAATAGCTTAGTGGTGATGTACTTTAGTGCTGGATGTTAATGGGTTTGAATCTTGAGTGAGATGATCTCTAGTGTTATTAGTAGCGCGTGGGCGGTTATCACTTCCTGGTCACCCACACCATAGAAGGACAGTTCTTGGGGTCCCTGCAAGGTAAACTGGATTAGTAGTGGTCCTAGCAATCTAAGACTGGGACTGCAGAACCCAAGAGATGACTACTTAGGACTTTTTAGTAATTATTTTTAGATAAGATGGCTTCATACTTTAAAGGCATTGCCATCGGTGACAGGAATCTGTGGGATAAAGTTGAGGTGTGGTACTTTCAGAGTCGACAGCCTTTACCCCCCTTTCGTTGTGGGAAAGTAGCACCGCTGCAGATGCTAGTTTTTAGGCGTTACACCTCTGTACAGTCAACAGTACAATTCCGTTCTCGGACCATTACTTTCTTGTATTTAGTCTTTCCGTTCCTAAAACGACCTGCTTAGAATGATTGAGCCTAAAGCAACCAATCTTCTACCCAACACTACTCGGTTGGATCATTACTATACGCAAGGTCGACCTTCAAGTCAACTCAGCAGCTGCGGCCAAATTGGTTTGAATAACATAGGGAAGTGCATTTTCCCGAAGACTGTTGATATGTTTTAATGATGAGCGTCAACTAGCATGATATTTAGATCCGAGGTTTAATGTCAATCACATCCACCCATTTAGTTCATACATTTAGAGGAGCTTTTCTATCGTGTTATACGGTAGAAAGTAAAACAGTAGTTTAATATTCTCTGTTGGAAACCATAACACAGTGTGTAGAACGAGAAGATTTGAAAATGTATTTTAAAAAGTTCAGAAGACAATGTCAAAATGTTATACATCTAGAATCTGCGAAAATTATCACTCTTACTTTACGGCCCGCAAAATATCTCAATCTAGACAACAATTAAGTCATTGACATGACCTAGTTCATTAGTCCGAGTCCTGGAAACTTTAGACGATAGCACGTGACCTGTGATTACTAAGTATCATTGCATAGCGAGAAATATGATACTTTACATACATTTCTAATTGATGTGAAATTACAATAAAGAATATTTTATGGTCACGGCAGAATAAATTGTGCATCAAGATTATTCTAATGTCATAGCAGTATAAAGTAGAAAAATTCCTACTTCCACCAACAATCTTAATTACTGATTTATATCTTAGCCACTTATTTCTTAACAATCTATCTTTACGTTCACCTGTCTCGACTTATCACCTGCTGAAGAATGAGTTGGTGTGTTTAATACTCTATATGAATAGATTCAGTTGTTAAGTCATAAATGGTTAAAAATGCGCCTCTTGAATTCTATTAGTAGCCACAATCATATTTTTTCCGCTTTTTTGATATAAATGAATTCATCACCTTATATAAAATTATTAAAATCCTGATTGTATTATTTTAGTATTAATATGACCAGTATTGACAATTATTTTGGAGAGTTTCTGGACGATGAAGATAATGAACAAGAACAGAATAGTAAACCTGTGAGATATAAATTTGTTTTTATTATTTCCTTATACTTGTTCATATATTTGAGGAACATTAAATAAAGTAATATTTAAATGAAGTAATGTTTGTAAATTCCACCGTGGGGTACTTGGTTCAAAATTCTTGAATATTGATTCATCACAATCTATTATAAGGTATGATTTATGATTAAAAGAGTCAGTTTAAATGGACAGGTATGGTTGTACTTTGGGAAGTAGCTAACAGAGTGATATTCAGGACAAAAACATTGTTCTATTTGCGGCTTGTTATATGAATGTATTTGCATTATTATTTATTGTTTAAACGCATAAACATTGGTACAAGGAGGCACCAAATACATATTCGCCACATAAATCAAATGATTTGTGTGACGGCTGAGATACTACCCGGGTGCCTAAGCCGAAGCACGTGGTTTTCTTAAGGGTCACACCCAGAGCCTTTGACCTGAAGGTCTAATCTACAAGGCAGTGGAGCAACTTTAGGTGATGTGGTCCCATGGTAGCCGGTGATCAATAATTGGTTCATACGCCATTTGTTTCTTCAGGATCCTGGAATACATGTGCATCATTGGTTTGGAATCAGGATTTTCCGACTCCCCTATGTGGATCCTCCATACCCACCAACCCCGTTAAAGCTCCGGACATTCACTTTTCGTCCTCTTAGTTTCGTAAACAACAGTAATGCATCAAGAAGGCAGTGAGTAGGACTTCTGTTGCAGTGGTTGTATGCACGTGGCCATGTGAGAGCATTTGGAGAGTGAGAGCTGACTCACCCCACTCCCGGTCGTACCAGAGCAATCGGGGCCAATGTATTTGAGTCCTGGTGTAGGATGTTCTTGTCAAAACTCAAACCTAACATTGATCAGATTTCCAACTGTACTCACTCAGCTAAAGAATTACGATAGATATCACTTGTTGAACGGCTATATAACATACTGTCGCTTGTAAATGTTAGAATCCATATCTAGATTAACTAGCCTCAGTTAACTTGTGAAGGAATCAGTCCTATAAAGATTACAGGTACCCGTGGCTGTGGGGTGTCATCTAGGACGAAATCTATGTCCAGGGTTTTGCGTTGACTATCCCTGACCTTCCAATAAGTTGATGAGTTCCATGTTATCAAATCTACAGCGGTGACTTTACTTTGATAATGAGTTTCTAAGTATGTCAGCACAACTAGGTGAGGCCACAAAATTTGAACACTCATATTAGACTATCAACAGAAAGTGTTGTACTAATGTTTTGTTAAAAATTCATCATGTGAATTAATTTTCCCTTTTGCGGATTTAGATGCCTCTTGTAAAATAGTGGCTCAGTGATTCAAGTATTTGGCCTTCGATTGGTAGGGAATAGGGTTCGGATTCTGTTTCATCTATGTTTGTAGTAGCACCCAGGTTGTATCACTATTTTTCTAGATTACATCGTGAACTGACCTTAGACAACTGTTGAAAGCCACGAAACGCCACACAGTTTCTTCGTCCTAGTATAGGACTACTTAGCTGCTTCGGAAGGTGGTTGTACAGCACCGTGAACTGACCAAATTTAGAAATGTTAGTCGTTGGTTGTCGTGCCAGTGTTCATGGCGAGATTTAAAGGTCCTGGATTCTATCCCTGATAGCGCCCATGAATACTAATGTTGGGAAATTCAATACTAGGAAAAAACAGCTGTTCAATGTTTCTTGGTTCTTAATGGTTGTCCAACTAAACCAGTTCGTGATGTAAACTACGAAATTAACCAATTTCTTTAAACCCTTTTGCACTAATATCATCGTTATTACTTACGCGAACAGTTTAGCTGAAAGCCAAGTACCTAGGCTTTTTTTCCAAGAAATAAGTTATTCCCTGAATACTTCTTTCCTGTTAGGTGCTTACAAATGTGGATTATTGATTGGTTTTTAACTATTTGGCCCCTAATCATACAACATTAAATAGTAGTCTGTTTGTTATCTGTATAGACTTTAAATTGTAAATTGTTCTCCTTTTTATTTTTATCTAGCTACAAGACATGCGTTCTGGTGTAATATTTTTAATTGATTGTACGCCGACAATGCTTGGATTACATGGTTCATTCGATTTAAATAGTAGTAATACAGTGGATTCATCATCAGTAAAAAGTGGATTTGATTTAAGTCTGTTATGTTGTCAAACATTTCAACAGAATAAAGCACTTCATAGTCCTTTTGATATGATCGGGCTTGTTTTAATGCGTACAGTAAGCCTTATTGTTACTAACGTTTAGTTGTACTATCTTATTTAATGGAAATATTTTAATTTTTTTCCTTTCATTGGTTTGTCTCCTTACATGACAAGGTTTATCTAAAGTACTTCTTAATTTTCAATAGTTCACCATCTGACATCACTCCTTAATGAAATTGTTTTGTTTCATATCACCCACTGATGTTGATGTATATAAATTTCAATTAAATATACCTCTTTAGATAAATTGTCAGTTTATTTTATGTTTAAGAAGTATCTCATCATTTTAAATAGATAAGCGGCATATAAACTATATGGTCTTAGCAATTAAGTATTCACCTCGAGATTTTAAGGTCTTGGCTCCAATGACTGGTGTGGAGTCATGATTGTGTACCGCTACGAAGTCCCTTAACAGGACGAAACAGCTATCCAGTGCTTCCTGGTTTTTAATTAGGTTCAATTTGTAATGTAAAACTTCGAATCTAAGAATTTCCGCAATTATCTATAAAAGCAACCATCATCTGTTTACTAGTGATTAACCTCAAGTGTTAATTCCAGGAGTTTTAGTGAGAATGTACGATGAACATCATCAATGGCAATGGATGATAGTTAGGCAAACGCGCAAATCGACTGAAGTTGGAATGGTAAAGCGTTAGTCCAAAATTCAAGAACTCGTCGTGGGTTCTGATGATACTAGGCTTTCATCCTTATTATATTCGTTGATGTACACTTCTGATAAGTTTCATATTAGAAAGGAATATCATATGCAAGAAAGTATTTCTGTTATATATTATTGTCTTTTATCTCTCTTTTAAAGAATGAGTCATCTGTTGACATGAAGAATATTATGGTTTTACAGGTTAGTTAAAAGTTCTCCTTAACTAATTTTCCATATTAATTAAATAGTATGATACTAATTTGGATTGGTGACAATCGTTTACATTTCCCTCCATAATCTTTTATTTTCCATATTTTCGATCGTGAACATAATTAGTTTGTTTTATCATAATGCCAACTTCTTGATAAAATGTCAGGATACTGTAGGCCTTGGGCCTGATTCCCGGTTATAGGGAATCCCATACGACTGTTCATTGATTTTAGGTTTCCAATTATTATCAAACTTACATTGATTCGTGATTTCAATAAAATTCATTATTCTCCACAACCTTATACCGATATCTCTCCTCGTTGTTTAAATCATTCGAATTA